AGAAAATCAAGAGTAAAGCCACACTTTGCTCACTACATTCTCAAGGTGACTGTCTCCTTCCACTGAGTAAAACAGGATTAATGAGAGTCACTTGTTTGTAGCACTTGCTAATGCACAAGACAAATAGCAGAATAGTCTGCGTGATTATTCCTGGCACCTAGATGTGTGTCATCCAAGACACAGAAATACAATATCATCACTTGTTTAAGCAGAGCTTAAGTAAACTAGTTTTCAGTGAGCTACTTAGTGCAGCATTCTTCCAAAAGAAAGGAAAGGAACAAAAGCACATGTGGGCTGGGCAAGCAAGTATTGTCTTCCTTCTTCTTTTTAAAAACTTCTCTCTAATGCAAAATCTCTTTGTTACAGAAAATCATGTAATGTTGAAAGATATAAGGAACGAAGCAAAACTTACCCTTTCCAATTCCGTGGTGAAGTATTTGCCTAGCATGCATAAGACCCTGGATTTGATCACCAGTATTGAAAAAAAGTACCTTTTCCTTCACCCTAAAATAATCAACTTAAAAATTTTTGCAATTTTTCATGACTTTTTAAAAATTTCTTTTTATTTTTCCCTTACAACATATATTACTTCATTATCTAAAGATGAATATATATGAATGTATTTATGAATATATCTGATAATGTGTATTTATAAGAATATAAATGTTCTGAGCCTATAAAGTCTAGTTTTTAAAAAGCCAAATTTCAGGTCAACATGGTGTACACATTACAGATCTTTTTGAAAGAAAATGCAGAACTGGTCATCTAATCCACTTATCACATTATATAAGATCAGATATACCTCTTATTTTGTTTTTATTTGTATAGTTGAAATGTGTTCAGCTCCATTTTGGATCTATTCCCCTGTTTTCTTTTTCATAGTTCTGGGATTTACACTTCAACTAATTTTCTTAATTAATTTATCTGATCTTCCAATGTATTTAAGTCAAAATTTATCTGTATAGAAAACAAATTTTTCTTATAAAATATAACTTTAAGGAAAGAAACAGAACAAACACAAATAGTAAAGCAGGGTGAAGGAAAAGACAGTTGTGAAGGTGTAATAGTGCAATCTTACCTGTTCAGTTAAAGCTCCTTTACTCTCTGAACCAGAAAAGACCTATTTTTGTTGCTTTAATTCAAACCTGAACATAACAGCAACAAAATGGTTTCACTCCTAGCAACTACAAAAACTTCAGTTTGAACCAAAATTTTTTCTCTGAACCAAAGATTTTTCTCTTTCTCTTTCATAATTGGCTGAATTTGCCATAATGTTGTAATTCAAAGACTTCCTAAAATTTACCCTATTGAGGTCCAGGGATGTAGCTCAGTGGCACAGCGCCTGCCTGGCAAGCGAGAGGTCCTGAGTTTGATCCCTGGTACCCAAATAAATAAATCCTATTGAATGAATAAGATAATAAATATATGTGGCTCTTTTGAAAATTAAATGCTGAAGTGAAAATGTTGAAGATAGGAATTCATGTGGGGTGGATTAATGAATTAAATTTTTGGTTTGTATACTTTTTCTAATTTAAATTTTCAAGTGACTTTAAAAAATAATTGCTATTCTGGAAGTACATTGGTTAATCTGACTCCACAACATTTTAGAATACCTTTAAATCAAGAGTTTCAGCATAAGCCTGAGCCAAGTTGAACCAGCATTGAGCTCCATGTGAGTGAGTCTGAAATTTGCAAAGGAGGTAAGGGATAAGTTATATTCACAAGTCTTAAGAACAAAATTCATTCCTGGAAAGAAAAGTCTGGACTAGAGAAAAGAGGTGACATTGTGGCTGCCCCCTCAAATTAATCCCTAATGCCCAGAGTTGATATAAATATATAACACTTCAGTGGCCTTGCTAGAAATGGGACCGGCAGTTTCAGTTGTTAGTGGCTTTGACCCAGAGTGCTGTGCTCTCCCCATAAACCAGGATGCTTTTAGTAGGGCTTAGTGGTGGCTGCTGCCTTTGGTGTCCATCACAGGAGGAAATATCACTGGGCAGAAGAAGAGCACTAAAGGTATTCACTAAGATTAGTTTGTAGAATACAAAAGAGGAGGCCCTTGAGAATCCCCATACTTAAGGGGAAGAACTAAGGCTGACTGGGGGCAGAGTCAGGAAATACTCTTTCGTAATTGTTGTTTTGACAATATATTTATTTCCTGGCTGCAATGACCTGGGAAAATATGGACTTTCTTCCAATTCAGAATTTATGCTAGAATAAAGATGAGCCAAGATGGCTGAAGCATGGAAATATGATTATACGTGCACTTTAGACAATTTTCATTGTTCCAAGCTTTAAAAGTAAGTTGGTTGCATTTTACTAATCTGCATGGTCTAGTCGGGTGCTGGATAAGAAATGTTCCTCAAGAACGCCCATTAACTGATAACATGTGATATAGTAAAACTTTTAGAATGAGGAGCACTGTTAAATGCCATAGAAGAGTTCACAAGGGAGAAAGGTATGTGTAGTCCTGGCTTGAGTATTTCCCCCAGTTCATGTGCAGGAACCTTAATCTCGCAGTGCCATACTGCTGGGGCCTGGTGGGAGGTGTTTGGGTTCTAGAGTGGAGCCCTTGTGAATGGATTCATGTCTTCCTTTTATGAATGACTTCTTGCTTACACAGAACTGGAAGAGTCGCCACGAGAGTGGAGTGGGGTCTTGTTTTTTGACACAGGGGTCTCACTGTGTTACCAGGCCGATCCTAAACTCATAATTCTCCCTCATCAGCGGCCCAAGCATGTCCCTCCATACCTGGTTTGAGGGTAGGTTGTTATAAAGTGAGTGTGTCCCTCAAGCTCGTGCTCTTTTGTATGTGCTCATTTTCACTTCCTCTGAGTTGAAGCAACATGAGGCCCTCATTAGCTGCAGTCGCCCGATACAGGACTTCGCTGCTTCCAGAGCTGTCAATTTTTTTCTTTATAAATTACCTAGCCTCTGACCAGTTCTATTATGGCAATAGAAAAATCGAATAAGGTATATATTATAGCAAATACTTCCCTCTATTGAATGGATCAAGGCCTTTCTTTTATGTGCCCATGTTTTTCTAACCAAGACCATGAAGTAATCTCGTTCTCTTCATTATGGGCCAAATGACTACAAGTAATTGTCAAAGGTTGCTATAAATTAAAAAATGTCCCAGACTTTTATGGAAAAGACTAGTTGGTGTTGGGTCTCCATAAACAAGAGCTTACATGAAGATTCAAAATTAGTAAAAGAGGTCAGGAGAACAATACTGTAGTCCAGGAAATGCAGCTTCAGGAAGTACAGCTTCTCAGGAAAGTGTGATAAATGTAATTGCTGTGAGGCCAGGGGCTTTATTTATTGTGTTAATTGCTGTAGTCCCAGTACATAAAGCAGTGAAACTTATTAAGTATGTCTTGGATGAGTGAATACATGAACATGAAGTTGGAGGCATCTCAGGTAGCTCAAACAGGAGGGGAGCCAAGCTAAAGCAAACTAGATAAGCACTGCTGGACTTCAAATGAAATTAGAAGTGATCAAACTAGAAAAGTTGATTGTGTGGATTAACTAATGGTCAACTTGGAACACCCAGCTGAACTGAATCAGTATGGTCTGGGCATGGAAGACGCACCTGGGAACTGTTGTCAACTGCATAAAAAGAGAACTGGAGGTAAAGACTGTAGGCTATTGATTTTCTTTTCTTTTTTTTAAATTAATTTTATTGGTGCATTTTAGGTATAATGACATTCATCATTGGAAATTTGTAACTTTACATGTTCTGTCTTGGTTCTTATTTTTTCCCCATTCCCCTACCTTCCCTTAAACCCCTCCACTCCCTATTTACAAAGACTGTTTCCATTTTTTCATTCTCTCATATTAATTCCATTCCCTTCTTTCCCCAATTCCTCCCACTTCTCCTTCCCCTTTGGACCTCTTCTTCCTATTTCACACAAAAAAATTTCATGATCAAAGAGTGGCACCTGACCTAGCACAAAGAATCAACAAGTGGGATCTCTTCTTATTAAAAAGCTCTGCACAGCAAGAGAACCCACCAACAGTGTGAAGAGACAACCCAATATGTGGGAAAAAATTTTGCCACTTGTTTCTCAAAGGACTACCATCTAGAATACATAAAGAACTTAAAAAAATAAGAATTCCCAAATTTAAAGACCCCATCTAAAAATAGGCATCTGGAGAAAATGAAAAAATGGAAATAAAGTGTTTGTAAATGGGGAGGGGAGGGGGGGGTGAAGGGAGGGCAGGGACAAGGGGAAAAAATGAGAACCAAGACACGTCATGTAAAGGTACAAGATCCCAATGATGAGTGTAGCTGTACTGTATACCTAAAATGTACCAATAACTTCAATAAAAAAAGGAATCTGAAATGAAAAGATATTTACCAGACAAAGAAGTCGAAATAACAAATAAACATATGAAAAAATGTTCATCACCACCAATCATTAGAGAGATGCAAATGAAAACAACACTGAAATACCATCGCACCCCAGAAAGAATGGCTGCTATTATGAAATCAACCAGCAATAAATGCTGGTAGGGCTGTGGGGGAAAAAGGAAAATTGCTCCACTGTTGGTGGGAGTGCAGACAGGTGCAACCACTGTGGAAATCAGTATGGAGATACCTCAAAGAGCTTGAACTGGAGGTCCCATTTGATCCAGCTATTTTCCTACTGGGTATCTTTCTAAAAGAATTAAAAGAATCATGCCACAGTGATATATGTGCACCCATATTTATAGCGGCATAGTTTATAATAGCTAAAACTTGGAAACAGCCCAATCGCCCATCAACTGCAGACTGGATAAAGAAGATGTGGGATTTTTTTTGTTTAATAAAATTGAGTACTACTCAGCCATAAAGAATGAGAAACTAGAAACATAGCTAAATGGATGCACATTGAGGCACTATGCTTAAGTGAAATAAATAGTGAAATAAATAAATCTTTTACATGTGTAAAAGATTGTTCATTTTCTTGGAAAAGCTTGCTGCAGCTGGTTTTCCTGATGCAAACTTGGCTGTTCACATTGGAGGAGGAGCTGGGGTCCTCTCTGTCCCTGTGATTGGCTGTTGTTCCCATCAGGGGAGCTCTGATCTTTGCTTTGAACGTGAGTTCCTGGCTCCAGTTTAGATCCCTCAGCCTGGTGGCACAAATCCTTCACGCCGCTGGCGCAGGCTTTCTGGCTTCCACCTTTGGCCCTTCCTGGTGCAGATCCTCCATTCGGACTTGCATGAGAAATTGCCGTGGGCTCTAGGCCTTGGTCTGGACTTGTGGAGGACATTGCCAGGAAATCCAGGCCCTCAATTAGATTCTTCTAGTGTATGTTCTCTATTGTGTGGACAGATCTCTTGCACTCCTCTGCATTTGATTTTTTGGGTGAACACTATAGAATAATCCTATAAATTATGTGTCCTGTATTAAATCTATTCCCTTGCAAACCTTGACTACAGCATCCATGCTATCTTTTCCAAGATGCAAGGAAGAGTTTGGGTCCAAGGTTAGTTAGAAATACTTAGACCAATGACACTGAGAAAATTGGCAATCCAATTGGACTCTCCATCAGCTGTTTATGTTTGGTGCTGAGTAACAAAGTCACCCTAAAACATAGCAACTTATTTTGGAGTCCAGAGGCAGGCTACCTGGGAGGTCTCACATGAGGGTGCTGTCAAGTTATTGACCAAGGCCACGGTTACAGGAAATCTTGGCTGGGGTTAGAGAGCCTGCTTCAAATGCACTCACATGGCTGTTGGTAGGCTTCAGCGTCTCACCAGCTGTCAGCAGGCTGACAGGTTCTGGCCATGTGGATCTCTATTCAGACAGGACATTGCTTTGTGTGTGTTGGGGGTTGGGGGGGGTGGGGACAGACCCAGAGAGAAAGAGACAGGAGAACTAAATGGAAATTGCAGTCTTTTATAATCTAATCCCAGAAATGCCATCCCATTATCTCTGGGATGTATTGCTCAAACCAGGAGGGAGAGGCTGTTTAAATGTGTGAATGACAACAAGCAGGGGTCCTGGGGGCTGCCTGTGTTCCCAAAACCTGTCTGACCCCAGCCCTCAATTAATTTACAGCCAGGTAGGAGTATTGAAAATTTGAATACTTTTAAAAAACATTGTCTACACATTAGAAATAAAATCCAAAGATCTCTGCCATAGATGTCTGCTACCAGATTTGAAATGAACTACACAATGGTCTTATGCTCTCATAATTTGGGGCCCAATGTCAGAAATTTATTTTCAGTCTAACTCCTCTGGTTTAGTTTTACCTGTCCAAGCTGTACACAGAAACAGAAAGGGTCAGATTTTCAATTCAGCTTTTATTAGTTAATTTTCTGCGGGCAAATCCTTTCTGTCACTCCAAACCCTTATTTCTTGACATGTGCAAACTCTTCTTGACATTACAGTTATCCTCACTGAGACCCCCTCAAACCTCTAGTAAAATTTTAAAAACAGAAATAAAACAGTATTTTCATTTAGAGCATTGTATCCACTGCAGTCTCTCAGTATATGCAAATAGTTCATCTGACAAGCAAGGACATAGGCTTGTGTCTTGTTGCAATCGGAGAGCTGTCCATACTCAAACTGGCAAGGACTTCCCTTGGCTGAGTGAAGTGGACAGTCCCCTCCGCGGAGTGTTTCTATATTTTCAGGACTTGACAAGGTGTTGCTCTGCGGCTGTACTCCACAAGAGGAAAGATTCGCAAACTAACAGTGCCTGTGTGCCTCGTGTAAGACCCAGTGAGAACACACTAATGGGCCCAGCTCTCATCTGGAGCGGGTTCCCCTGTGTGGGTGATGTGGGCAGGCGGGATGGGCGGTACCCTGGCATCTCTCATGACCCCCGGCCGGGCTGCACCGCAAGGAGTTAAAGTCGTCTCGCTACACACAGAGGAGCAGCACCTGAGCAAGCAACGCTTAATTGCACTTCTAGATCCAGCAGAGGGATTGGTAGGTGCAATGAGCTCATAGCTTTTTTCCACAGCTATTATTCTGATCACATGAGAGTTACTGGTCATTCTTATAGTTCAAATTTTCCAGATCCCGGCAATTGTCACGAATGGAGTCGAATTAACCTTTAAGCCATTTTGTTCATTAGATCATTGAAGCCCCTGGACAATAGAAGTGGAAGTTGCTCGCCTTGGGCTTTCTGTACAGCCACACCGTAGATAGTAAATACAGTGGTCTTTTCCATTGCTTTAATAAGTTCTTCTGGTACCGATTAATAAACTTGATCTCAGCATTCCAGTGAGGGAGCAGCTTTATCAAACTACTGAGTTTGACTCTGGTGGTGACATAATTCTTTACAAGAGAACAAGTCTAGGAAAATCTACTTCTTGATTAAAAGGACAGTGAGGTTTCTTTTCACACTTTTATTCTGCTCTAAATTACAATTTACATAACACATTCTTCAATAAATCCTATTATAAAGATGTTATCCAAGTGATAAGCTTTAGCTAGAAAAGCCATTTCTATCAAGTGTCTGGGTGCTAAGAAAGTTATGATGGAAAGGACTATTTTTATTTAATTTCCTGGAAATATTGCCTTATTTAACAAATAAAAGAGAAAACAAATGAATATTTTTTGGTAAGCATATTCTTCTAATTCTCTGTTCTTCTTGATCTTTAACAGTTCATTTCCTACAATTTTCCTCAGTGGCCTGAGGCGGAGCTGCTTGTAAAGCTCCAGTCTGTTTAGTATAATCCAGTTTCCAAGGAAATTGCACAAGGATTGTTTTACTTTCAACAAAATGTACTTAAACTTTGTGTTTAAAGCTCCAAGGCTGCAATATGTACATTTGGGAATGCACGTTTGGGAGTACGGCTGTAAAATATCCCCAACAGAGAATCTCTTGTCCTGTGGGCAGCTGTCTCCAGTACTGCAGCCAAGACTTTAAAAACAGAAAACAAACAAAAAATAGCACCTGGTTATCAATGCCTTCACAGTGATCACTTTATACTCATGTGGTATCATTTAATAATAGGTAAGCCCTTACTGAATTCCTACTTTGAGCCAGGCGTAGTTACTAAGAGCATGAGTTTTGAGATCAGTTCCTACTTCTGGCATGCTAACTGTGTAGCACTGGAAAGTTACTGGACTTCTCTCTGCCCTGTTTCCTTCAGTTTTACAATGAGGATAATAAAAGTATCCCTGAAAATTAAAAGAGTTAACATGTATTACATTTAAAACAGTGCCTGGTATATAGTAATGCTATGTATTTTACTTGGGGTTTTATTATTAAAAATAGTCATAATCTCAATAGATTATTTTCATCTACATTTCTTCCTGTCTACTCCTTTAGCCTTCTCAGTTACTTTTTGTTGAGTTTAAATTTTCATGAGAGCTTCAAGAATTACACTGCTTTACAGTCTGAAACTTTTACTTTATAGATAAAAGCCAGCCCTGGGAATGTTATATGAGTGGCCAAAAGTAAAAATAAAACTTCATTGGTTACAGTACCAGGATTAAAATTGTGTCTATGTTTCCTGTACCTCATTTTGGCTTAAAAGACAGCATGGCATAGATTTGGGAATCTCTCAGACCTAAGCCTGAGACCCCAGGCACATTCTTCCTTTGCTATCACTGGCCTGTCTACAAATCATCATCCACCCCTCAGCAGCAAAACTAGAGCTTGTGGACTTTAATGTCCCTTTAAAAAAGAGTTCTGGCCATGTTCCCAGCCTCTTGTGTTCTTATAGCAAGCGTTAATGTAACAGCAAAGAAAATGTATTCCTACCCTTTTCTATGGATCAGTCGTTGCACGGATGATAGAAACTCATCCAAATTAGCTTACGCAAAAAGATTTAGTAGAACTGAAACAAGATGTGAGAAACAAGCCTTAAGAAGTCTCTAGAAGATTAGAATAAGGAGTTCACATTGCATTAGGGTTCTTTTTCTCTCATCTCTTCTAAAAACAGAGTGTGGCTTAATTCCCCCAGACCAGCTTTCTCTACTTGGTACGAACACAGCCACCAAAAGCTCCAGACTCATAATTGTATAGCCTTTGATGATTTGACAAAACAGGTTAGACTTACGCAGTGTGCCCATCACTGTCAAGGGAGAAGATGAAGTATTATGACTGGCCCAAGGTGTATCATAGGCTAAACCCAGTTCTCTGGTTGGGAGTGGAGTATGTTTTGAGTAGAAGGAAGAAAATGGTACAAAGGAGACAATATAGTCTCAGATTAGCTTCTCTGGGCAAAGGGTCAATTCATGTTCTATACATATTTATAGAATCTAGATTTCAAATTAATTGGCTTACAAATGAGGAAGACTGAATGCATACTCTGATAAATATTGTAAATATTTCATGTTCTATAACCTATATCCTAGTTTCTGAAAATGTGAGCAATAAGGCAACAGGGGAGTGAAATCATCAACCCTTTGGTTCTGTAGCAAATCTTTCTCTGACATCTGTCATATTGACATTTAAGAACCCAGCACAGCCTTCCCATGGCAAATTCCCAGTATTTGTCATCACTTATAATTTTATTAGAGCTTATATTTCACCATACATGGGGCAGTTGTTTATATGCCATTTAAAAATGAGAAAACTAAGAGATTAGCTTATACTTGGTTACGTATTTAATAGTAATTATGAACTAGAAGTGGATTTTTGTCTTGTCAGAGTTTCTCTCCCCATATTTGGATAAATTGAGGCAAGCAAGGATATTTTGTTTTTCCGTTTTTTTGTTTTTTGTTTTTGTTTTTTGGCAAGAAAGGTGTTGAATTCAGTATGCTACAAACCTGGCTCGGTGTATATACCAAGATGTACTTATGGAAAGAGTGGAAGTGTCTTTGCCCATAACAAAAGATGGCAGGAAACGAGGTAGGATTTGTGGAGATGGACAGGAGGTCTGGGAAGGGAGGAAAGACAAGGGGGAAGTGAAGAGGAAGCAAAACTGACCAGTGCGCCACATGTATACGTACCAGTTCCTCAAGATGAACGTAATGATGTACTGCAAACACGGATCAACGGTTTTCAAGAAAAAGGCATTCATGAAGAGGACTTTTTGAACTGCTTCAGAAAGAGACAGGAATAATGGGATACGTATGTTTGAAGTGCAGGGCAGTATCTTGAAGGTGATTAATGGTGATATGTCACATACTGTGATAAAGTTTTTAAAATTTTAAAAAGTATTTTAGTTTATTTCACAGAGTGAAGCCTTGACGAGGTGGGAAATAAAAATGAGATCTGTAAAATGAGGCCCCACTAAATTCCTGTGACATGCATCCACCAGGGCTGGCATTCTTCTTGAGTACTGGCTGAAGTTTTCCTTATTT